TCAACAATGCAACATAAACTTCTTCTGAACAATAAGGAGTTTACTCAACAGAAAGCGTTCGAAATTTCTCTACTATTCAGACATGGCTTGTTGCTAGTAGGGTCCTCTATCCCAAGACAATCAAAGGAACTGCCATCTATTACTCTTTAGCTCGAGGCCTTGCAATTTGAAACTGCAGTTGTAATAGATCCTCAGTTATACTATAACAAAGTTTGTACAGCTACAGAGAAGCCGTACATTGCAAGGCCAAGACCGCTAATGCCTGGCGGCTGTACTACTCGATACCCGTCCTTGTCTAGGCTTAGTTGATTCGAAAGGGACAGTAAAGGTCCGCTTCAGGTAGACTTCGCAATGAAATGGTCTCGTGTCGCTTGGTGAAATGAAGAAACACGTGCCTTCTACGTTATTTTTAGTGCGCCAGACGCACGGCTCTTTCCTCCGGCTAGTGTTAGAGAGAGACTAGCACCAAACTTGCACGTGCTAAATTACTGGTTGTTCGTGGACGAAAGCGAAGGCAATCGATTAGTGTCGTATATTCTAATTGCATTAAATCTCAGCAAACGGCTCGACTTATCAGTTCTGCTGTCGTATAAAGTAGATCACGCTCGTCGTGACCAACAAACTACGCTGGTACTTTTATTAACAGCTTAACAACCCTTCTACGGTGTTTGTCAAGCAATATTTAAGCATAGGTAGGATTTCTTGCTTTCTATAATATTATTTTGTTACTTTTAGTAAGACAATATTTGTTACCTAATAAAGTCTAGACAGCGAATTAAATTTAGAGTGTAGTGGATTAGTAAGTCAACAGGCCGTGTGTGTACTAAAATACCTAGTGGTTATTAATTAGGAATATCGAACATTCGTTATTACTTAATCTTGCGTAATAGGCATGAACCTTAACAAATTAAACGATCTGTAAGTAATTCAACATTTCATGTGTACATTCCTTTCCTTCCACACTAATTCCTTTCTAAGAAGTTAATTTCAAAAGAAGTTATTGGCTTGATTGTTACAAACAATTTGTTAGCGAGTAAATTTTTTTGAACAGCGTCCAATTTATAAAGTTTTGAAATTGAAATTTTCGCCACTTGCGAGTGACACGAGTGGAGAATGTCCAAGGTGCACTGCTGAAGGTCACGTCATTCTTTTGCGATGATGTCGTATGTAGCGTACATTTCGGAGAAAAAAGATATCCAATAACTACTGTTACTGTTACAATAACAAAACGCTTTCGCGTGGAGTCTACGGTAGACAATGGAGAAAAAACTTACACATTGAATTGCATGGGAATAATTTATAATAGTGCAAAGATAGCCGGATACACGGCCCTAGCCAAGGATGATCTTGGCAAGGAGATGGCTAATTTATTTAATTTTTTTTTTTTATGTGATAGGAGGCAAACGAGCAGACGGATCACCTGATGATCACGAATTTAATCACAGACCACATAAATAAACTTATGACGTTTAGAAAGTGTAAAGAGCACCTGAGACTGAAAGATTTTAATTTATTTCAACACTACAGAATGTCTACAAATGAACGCTAATTATTGCCAATATTAAGCACAAAAAGAGGTTGAAACAAACAACTGTAATCCCAGTCAACGAATGGAATTTTCCGTTCGATGAACCCTTTTTAAGGAGCAACATTATTGCTCTTCCGTCTATATCCCGGGCAACTCACTAATCCGTTATCCTCTTTTAAAGTAGACAAACTCTTTTGTAACTACACCAGGAAGTAATTTACGTAACATTACGACAGAGAGAACGCCTGTCGTTATCTTGAATAGCTTTTGGTTGATATTGCCAGCTCAACAAATTAATAAACAATTACGGTCTGTTTAGTCGACAACGTGGCGAGGTGTCACACATACATCATGGGCGCTACGATATTTTAATTGGCGTAACGTGTGACGATCACTGGCCGCAATCACCGCAATTGAGACGCGCGCGCAAGGACGCCGCTAAATCTGACGCGGCATCCGATTGTCTCCACGATTCCGATTCGGACAATGCAGCGATGCGAAATGATCACATCAACAACATTCAATTCAAAGGAGAGTGAAATCTAAAAGTAGAAATGGAAAGACGGTTAATTCGGGCTCGCCGATATGCGTGGGAGTGAGTTATTGCCAGCTAATGAACATTTAAGAGGCAGCGCGTCTTTAGTTCTAGAAATCATTTCGGAAATAAATCTTTTGCCTTTTAGCTTACTGCCTTTCTAACCAAACTCTGTCTATACCTTCTATTCAGAACACTGACTATTAAGCTTTCAAGCGACACAGCTTACTCTGAAAATAAGTTGAGGTCACGCAAATGTCAAAAATGGCAAAAACTTGATAAAAACATTATCCGAGTAAGCCAATCGATCAATATTAAACCGTTATGATAGGTATGTCGTGCACCAACGCTTCCCGATAAAACTAAAACAAAGTACGTTCATGAAGCGATAATGAAATGTTATCATGTACACTACATGGATGAGACGACCAGCACTGATTAGTCTAAATGTGGCTAATGTGGACTGAATTTAGTTTTTTAATTAAAAGGTTACGATGGGGGTCATTACACACTGCCATTTGTAGTCATAACATCAGGTTTGCAAGGACAACAGCTATAGACAACAGAATAATTGGGTGATCTACTTAATTTAAAAACAAGCCAAGGTAGTAGTAGTAATATCTGAAAGTGTTGTGAATGCTTATACTAAAACGTTTGTTTTTATTTGTATAGAGAACAATAGTGTCTAGACAAACCTAAAAAGGATTTAGGACGCTATTTGGATCAAATATGTAATTGCTCAATAATGAATAATAAATAATAAATAAAAATAAATAAATAAAGTAGATCTTCTAAATCAAACAGAAAGTCTGTATTGAAATCTGTTTGTTACGGAACTTAAATTTGAATTGCAGCCAACTGCAGAGTTAACGAAATCCAGAAGCGAAGAACTAATTAGATAATTGGTGCAAAGTTATTATTGATCTGTTGTTGTAACATCGCGTCCTCCTGACCCTGACCCGATGATATGCGATAATTCAAATAAGTTAGGTATATAATATGAAAGATATTTACGAAATTGATGTTTGAAAATTGAAGCTGCAAGGGATAGCACATCAGACTGTATATTTTTGTCGCAAATTCACCCGTATTACAACTGCATTATGATGTCACTGTGTTTAGCTTGATATACCGTGTCTGTTCCGGACTTCCGGGAAGAAAAACCAGCGATAGCGATTCACATTTGACCGATTTGATAATTCCAAAATTGACATAAAAATATATCTTATTACCTACTATACTGTGATTGAAATTGAGGAATCTTCATAAAAATTCCCCGATTGATTGGTAAGATTGGGAATTTGTGACTTCAACCATTTGAACGAAATTACACGTAATTGTAACACTTTAGAGGCTTGTTATTGTGAACAGATGCGGGATAAGGACGGACAGAACAATCAGTAAAAGTAGTTGTGAAAAATAAATAATAGGGGCCGTATTTTGGAACAATTCAAGTATGAAATTTTAGAAACTTATGTTTTGAATAAAAGCTACCTGGGACTCCGGAGTTACATGAAGCAACAAAAGCAAAAGGCAGCGTGTTTGAATCCCGCAAAGGGCTTTAGAAAAAGCGGGCTACATTTAATCAATTCAATACAACTGTTTTTGTTTGTTTTCGCAATGGATCCATAGATTAATTTACTCATTCGATGTCTAGAACCTAGGCAGGTACGTAAAGGTGATTGTAGCTTGGCTCGCAGCTGCACCGTCTGTCTGTTGACATAACCGGCGGACTTCGCGCCTGAGTCACGGGCTGAACAAAATCTCCGGCTGTAGCAGCTTGGATTCTACAATTTTATCGCAAGTTAGGGAAAACTCGTATTTAAATGAATTTGTGAAACACACAACATAATGACAAACGCGTCTCGTACGTAGGTAAGTAGGAATTTGTGTCTTATATTAAGCGGTAATTAATTTAAATGTTGTATGTATTTAAAATTACTAAGTATTCAAGAAGAACGCTTATAAGTTAATTAAAATTAACTCGCTACTTAGGTACTTAACTAACAATTTAACAGTTAGTGGTAAGTTATTTTACATAGAGATGAAATAAACTAACAAAAAAACCTATTGCTGCGATTTTGTCAATATAAAGTAGTTTTCCCATTGCATTCGAATCAAAGAAAATCTACTTCAAGATTGCTTCAAGAAAGAATGCGCGACTGTGGTGCCTGTTGGGACGGCGGCGGACGGCCCGCGCGTAGCGCGCTTCCGAAAGCACTTTCGCCTCCATTCGGCCGCGCTCGGGCCGACTCGCGCCCCACAGCTGACTGGGCCAATGCGCGAGCGAGACCGACATAGCCCCNTTCGCGCCTGAGTCACGGGCTGAACAAAATCTCCGGCTGTAGCAGCTTGGATTCTACAAATTTATCGCAAGTTACGGAAAACTCGTGTTTTATAGCGTCTCGCGCTTTTTGCTACCTACCATTTAAATAAATTCGTAAAATACACAACTTAATGACAAACGCATTTCGCGTAGGTATGTAATTCGAGTCTTATAAACGTTCATTAATTTAAATGTTAGAGTACCCTGTATTGTATGTAGGTATTAATTACTACTATTCAAGAAGAGCGCTTAAAAGTTAATTTAAATTAACTCGCTACTTACTTACCTAACTAAAAATTTAACAGTTAGTAGTAAGTAAATTTTACATAGAGATAAAATAAACTAACAAAGAAAACCAATTGCTACGATTTTCTCAATAAAAAGTAGTTTTCCCATTGCATTCGAATCAAAGAAAATCTACTTCAAGATTGCTTCAAGAAAGAATGCGCGACTGTGGTGCCTGTTTGGACGGCGGCGGACGGCCCGCGCGTAGCGCGCTTCCGAAAGCACTTTCGCCTCCACTCGGCCGCGCTCGGGCCCGCTCGCGCCCCACAGCTGACTGGGCCAATGCGCGAGCGAGACCGACATAGTCCCGCCGCGCGTCACAGACAAAGACCGCGCACCGCGCAACTCCGACGGCCGCCATTTATTTCTTTCTAGTGCTCGCCACCGTCTTGTGACAGCGTATTTCATTATCAATAGCGCAGAGCTTATTCGTTTTACTTGTGAAATTTATGTATTAAATTTTATGCAAATGTTATAAAACTAGTGTGTATACGGTTTGTGGTACTCTACGATGGAATCTAATGTGTCTTATTTGTGAAGTGAAGCATTTACCAGCGAAATATGGCTGGCTCGTTCGCATCTGTTGTCAACACAAAATAACGTGGATTATGCAAGTTGGAGAAAAATGTGAACGATCGTTAGGTAAATGGGATTTTGTGTATAAGTTACAAGCGTTATTGTGAATCTGTGCTTGTGAAAGAAAGGTCGGCAAAGCCGATACAAAGTGGGAATGTTCTAGGAGCTGGCTGCGCTTTGATGTAAGGTGAGCCAGGCAGTAGCTGCCGACCGTAGGCTGTGCACTGTCACTCCGCGCTGGCCAGCCCACGTTGTGCTGAGCCTCGTCGTAAACAGCCTCAACGCAAACAGCACAAGTGCAACATAAATTAACATTAATTATGCGCTCAACAAAACTAATCTCTTCAACCGAGTTTTCGCAATTTTAAATATCACAAGGCTACCTTCATAAAATACACATTTAACAAAAAAAATAATGTGCAACTTTAGCATACGAGTCATCAGTTAAATATTCAATTTACAGTATTAGAAAACAGTAAACTAGGTCTAGGTAACTGTACAGTTCAGTGTGCACTAACTATGTGCATGTAAATCCACATCACAGTTGTTACTGTAGCATGAAACATGATAAACATTAGTCAACAATATCAGCCTTGATAGTGCTCAATCAAAACATTAAAATTATACACATCATTGGTGTTAGCTCAGTACAAAGATAAATGTAATAAATAAACACACACATGCATTCCCCAGCAAGCTTTGTGATACTTAAAATTGGGATCATCTGCGTGAACGCCTTCTCTCCATTGTTTCAGTGAATAAGACTATGAGGGTTATAATATAATGCAGTGGGTGCACATAATATTGGCGCTGGCAATAAGTCGCGCGGCGGCGGCGGGCTCGGGCTGCCCGGGCGGCTGCGCCTGCTCGCAGCTGCGGCTGGCGTGCGCGGCGGCGGCGCCGGCCGGCCTCAACCTGACGCGCGCCGTGCTCGCGCCGCACGGCTCCCAGCTGCTCGAGCTCGCCTGGACCGACTCGCGCATCCGCCACGTCCGCACCGGCGCCTTCGACGGCCTCCACGACTTGGAGTACGTCGACTTGAGCAGAAACGAAATCAAAAGGACCGAAACTGGACTCTTCGCTGGACTGACCCGGTTGAAACACTTGAATCTCTCGAGGAACCAACTCGATGACATACCCAGATTGACCTTCACCGGCCTGGAGAACTTGGAAGTCCTCGATGTGTCCTACAACAACCTCCACTTGATACCATTCCAGGTCTTCGGACCGTTGACCAAATTGCAATATTTGGATATCTCACACAACAGATTAGCTACATTCTTAGATTACTATTTTAACCCTAATAGACAACTGAAAACACTGTTCCTAAATCATAATAGCCTAGTCAAAATTACATCTAACGCTCTAGTCAACTTGAAAGAATTGGAGACGCTGGATATCTCTAGTAATAAATTAGAATACATGCCGAAGTTGATGTTTGATAAATTTGAACAGTTGAAGAGGTTAAATCTGAGTTATAATCTGTTCCAAAACATATCAAGTGATGCTTTTAAGAATCTTAAAAATTTAAGGTGGTTAAATATTGGAGGAAATAGATTAAGGATGCTGCCGCCGACGCTCTTCCATAATAATGAAAATCTGAAAATAGTCTACCTCGATCACACAGAAATACAAGTTATACAAAACACTAATTTCAAGGGTTTAGAAAATCTTGAGTATCTTTACATAAGGAACAATGCTTTTTTACGTGAAATAGAACCTTTCGTATTCCAAGACACTCCATCGATAACACATTTGGATATAAGCGCAAATGTCTTAACATTTTTACCGCAATCTCTGAAACTACTCGAAAACCTGAGAGAGCTCAGGATAGGAAACAATCCGTGGGCATGTGACTGCCGAATGGCTTGGTTCGGGAGCTGGGTGGACCAGCGGCCGCACATCATCAAGTCGGACTTGAGTTGCGGGCCGCTCTCGTACCCGAATGATATGCTGCCCATTTTGGCGAATACCAACTGCAAGCCGCCCACGCTGACCTCCAGCACGCCGCTGTCGCTGTATAGACTGCAGTCGGACGCGCTGCTGCAGTGCCGGTTCAGCGGCAACCCCGCGCCGTCGCTGACCTGGATCACACCCACCAGCGCGGTGTACCACTGGAACCCGGACCCGCTGATCCCGGACATCTTCCACAAGCACGGGGTCGCCCACGACCAGTACTACCGCCCCATAGACAACACCGAGTCCAGAGTGAGAATCCTCGACGACGGATCGCTATTCATAAGAAATATACATAGAGAAGACTGTGGAACATACTTATGCTTTGCAACGAATCCTTCGGCGAACGTGTCCGCCGAAGTCGTCCTGAACATAGACCCGATGACGATGTTTGAAATAAAAATATATAGTTTGATATGCGGGGCTATATGCGCCGCTGCCTTCCTGGGTCTGACGTTGTTGGTGCAGTTCATACGTTATGTATTTTATAGGTTGGTATTTTGAGTCGTGACAATACAGTTTGTTAATTTAAATGTGCAAGTGATTGTAACATTGAATCTTAATTACAGGTTTCGGCTATTGGAGACGTGCTGCAGTTGTTGTGCGTGCGTCACCCACGACGCGCCGAGGTCCCGGCAGATATACAGCATGTTGGACAACATTGAGCAATATAAGAAACAGCAGTTGGAAAAGCTGCGGGAAAACTATGCCGTTCAAGTAAGTTATTTATAAATCACTTTTATTTACTTGAAATGAAAACTAGTTAACTTTCAAAAGGGGAATTGGGACTAAATTGTTGTGTGTAGTTTGGGAGAGGTCTATGCCCAGCTATGGACGAAGATTGATTGTTTAAATTATTATTAATGTGGGCGTATCTTTCGTAGGTGCATAGAATAAAAGAGAACTGCACTCAGCAAATGGAGTGGATCCAGAGCAGCTACTCCACGCAGGCCAGCCACCTGCGCAACATCCGCGACATCGGCACCAACCACCTCACCGCCATGAAGGACCAGTACTACGACCAGGTGAGACCCTAATTAGTCTCCTTTTCATTGCAATTACATTTGATTGTTCAAAACTTTTCCATCGGTTTTCTAATGATACTGTCGTATTAAACGCAGCTGGGAAACATGTCAGTGCAAACTTTTGATTACTATCTTTAGCTTTAATTACCCTGAGAGAAACGTTCATCGTTGCTGGATTGTTAATTAAATGTTTACATAGATGTTTAGTCAAAATACACCGCTTGATTCCGTACAATTTAAGCCTGAACGTGTGTAACGATTTTTACGCCGACTTCTGCGCAGGTCAAACGCGTCCGCGAGTACTCCACGAGCCAGCTCAACTGGGTGCGCGAGAACTACGTGTTCCAGCGGAACAAGATCCGCAAGTTCAGCGCGCACCAGGTGCTGCGCATCCGCGAGTCGTGCAAGTACCAGCAGCAGACGCTGAACAAGGTGCTCGAGAACCTGCCCAGCCTGTACTTCGACAACTGCCGCTCCGGCTCGTGCGGCCGCAGCGACTCGGCCGCCTTCGACCCGGACGTCGAGGTGATCGACATGTACCTCAAGGCCAAGATCGAGCAGCTGGCCGGGCTGCCCTGCCTGGACGACGAGAGCAGGGTGTCGGTGTACTACACGCCGACGGAGCGCTCGCTGGCGTCGCGGCGCGGCTCGCCGGTGCCGGAGGGCGTGCACATCAACATGATCGAGCGCGGGCCGCCGCGGCTGCTGGCCATGGTGCGGCCGCTGCGCGCGTCGCCGGACTCGCCGCCGCCGGGCCCGTCGCGGGAGGGGGAGGTCAAGCCGGCCAGCGAGCCGCTGCTGGGCCGCGGCGCGCGCGTGCTGGCGGCCAGCGCGAGCAGCCCCGAGCTGCGCGAGGCGGCGCGGGCGGCGCTGCACGAGCGCGCGCGGGTGCTGCTGGCGGTGGAGCTGCCGCCGCCCGCGGGCTCGTAGCGGCGCGCGCGCGTGTTCCGCGTGCAGGCGCTGCACGGGCGCTGGCCGCCGCCCTTCGTGTAGCGACCGAGAGCTGTGATAGACTTGTTTACGTTTAGCTCGTCCGCGACGCGACGTCTAGCGGTAGCTTGTAAGTACACCGATCGCGCAGTGAGTTATCCCGTTAAGTGTTCCGTGGGCGATAGGCCGTGTGAATGCGTCTGTTCGTTTCTATCGTTTTCCATTTTGATGTATGCTTAGGGTAAACTTAGAGCGTTACGCGTTTTGTATTGTTTAACTCGAGCCGTAGGTGAAGTGAGGTATAGTGAAGTTGTTGCTGTCTCGCGGCGGGGCTCCGGTCCCGCGCCGCGTAAATTCCTTCGTCGTCCGAGACTTTCATCGTCAAATTTTAATCGTAATATAGTATTTATATATACTTATATATTTTGTAATAACAACGTCGTACAGTCGAACGAAAATGAGTCTTGCAGTGATATGCCAAATAATACAATCCAGCAATGATTATATAAAGTTTCTTAATATAAAATATACAAATATTGTTGAAGATTTTCTAAATATATAACAGGAGTAATCAGCTAATCATGAAGAATAAATTATTTTTCAATGTATTTTTGGTATTATTTACTCATTATTACCTCAAATTAACTAATTGAAAAGTGATTGAAATGTTTCATCATTAGTTAGCTAACAATTTGGTACACTCAGGTAAATCATTTACTGTGACGTGAACTAGTAAAATAATCGTGACTGAATATGATCCCTCAATAATTTGCAAATAAAACACTTTGGGAGTTTAATAAGTATATTTGCAAAATAAGACACCACACAATAAATTGAGCACGAATATTTATAATTGAAGACGGTGGCAGCGTCGGCAAATATTCCAAGAAACTAGAGCTACGTTATACTTTAAATGTTGCAATTTTACAAAACATGCCAATACAAATGAGTGTGAAGTGCTAGTTGTGAATTTTAAAGAAATTAAATATTTATCTTGCTTTAGCTACTAAATACTAGGAAGACTATTGAAGATTAAAATAATGTCTTATTGTTATTAGATGATATTCTTAAAATAGGGTTAATGGCGTCAGTCAAACTTTTTGGGAAAGTCTGGCGAATGCTGGACCTGATCCAATTGATATGACTTCTATAGTAGTTTGCGTGAGTTAGAACGCCAACATTTAAAAGCTCTCAATTACTATAAAATTAGGCATAAGTATTAATCGCCTCGCTTTATAATATCAACGATTTTCAATTTTAAAAGATATTTAATAAAATTCGATAATAATAGTAGTTAAAGAAATTTCGTCTAAGGCTTTAACAACTTATCTGCCTCACTTATATGATACACTAATACGCAAAATAACGACTTCTAACTCAATACCGCGAAAAACGACACCTTTATGCACATAAAGGAGGTACATCGCACTGACATTGTGTGCAGTACGCGACAAAGTAAATAACACTACTGTGGGGAAGATAAACTCGTGTTTGGGTTACATTCTACGACAGAACAAATAAATGGCGCCCTATGAACTGGCTAGTCTATTTAATAGACTGAGTGCGCGAGTGAATGCGTTAAATAAATAACTTAGAATACCAATAACTTGTTAAGGTGTTTATCGTTAACCATGCTTTGTATTTAATTATGATATTTCAGTTAATATATTTCAAATAAGATACTGCTCATTTGATGGTAGCAATCTATGTAGCTTAACTGATACTTGCTCATCTACATTTAAATCAATACCTACTTATAATGTCATATTAGCATGAATCATAAAAAAGTTAAATTCATACTAAAAAGCCGAATAGATATTGACACAGTCAATAAGTAGTGTTATTTCAAATAATTAATAACGTAATTAGAAATTCGCATCATTTGCAATTAACAAATGGAGGAAAATTAGTGTACCAGTTGTGATTATGTAATTAATTAATGATCACTATATTTATCTACTTCCTTAATGTTAAAGTAATTTCTAATATTATTCCCCATCATGCCTAGAACTCTTTTGACTATGATATTGACAAATCTTTATAAATCATAGCTTAATAATTAATTAGGATATTCGTCGATTACATTTGCTAATAGAGTACATAATGAAATCTTTTAAGTATGACAGATTGAAGTACAAGAATTGCTAACATTTCTACACTGATCCTTAGGGCAATTAAGTGTTTCATAAAACATTTATTCACTATTCACAATTATGTCTCATATAGCATAAAAAAATGTTTACTAAGATTTTGTAAGCCATATTATTTAAGTTTCAGCCAAATGACGTCCGCTGCTGGACAAATATTTAAGTACATAAGGCATAGAACATATTAGAATCTCTTGAAAGTTTAGACAGAAGCTCTTAAAAATTGACACAGACTTGCGAGTCGAGTCTAGTGAAATTAAAAATAAGCAATATGTTTTGCTTATTTGTGACGTGTGTAAGTGCTTTTTAAAAGCCTACTTGCAATAATAAAATGACTGAGTGAATTTAATCAATCAGCCAGTATGGACGTTTTTTGTTCAATAAGCAATTTTCGATTTGAAGCTATTTTGAGTAACATGATTTCATATTTACCCTGTATATTTACTAACTTCAACGTGGTGTTTCTATTGTTAATTATTTAATATATTATTAGCCTAATTACATGCCTAATGTAGGTGGTGCAACATTTGGTCGTCACAAATTACCATTTATGCAACTTAATGCGATGGACGCCATGTGGCTCTATGTTGAGACACAAACTATAGATTTTCTATTGTTTTAGTGTCTCGGTAGTTTTAGACTCTTTTTAAATTCTTTGCAGCTCCTATAAAACCTATCTAAGATAAGGAGAACCGGAGTAGTATTTAACAGTACAAAATTACGAATCCGTAGCTTTGCACCGAGTTTTTGTAGACTTATCATAACGATTTGAGCAAGGACATGTCTTTAAGACAATAAATGCCTACTGTTAAAAGACTATTTGGCTGATACTCAAACTTTACTCAAATAAAAAAATGTGCTCTATAAGCTCTAAATAACGGATTTAGTATAGAGTTTTGCTTCACTAATGTCACCTGCTAGCATAATGACTAAAGCTAGAAACAGAAAATCGATAAAATCGTTTTTCTTATGTAAATGTTTAACAGTCATTTCGAAAGCTGAACACATTTTCAATTTATGATCGAAATACAAAGAATATTTTTTACTACTGCAACACTACCGCAAAAAAGGAAAGCCTAGTTATCTTAATTGCAACCGTCTACAAGACATAATGAGACAAGTGACTAATGCGTTGTCAACGTCATCGCTATTACAAAATTGGTTGCACCCTCTCTAGTAAAGTCTACGAGTCAGCCCAAAATGGTCGTACTTAGACGGTAAATTATAATAATGTTATTTGTTGCACCACGATATACTCGTTAACTAGCCGAGCTAGACAACGAACTAATGCTTTTTAATAGCCTTTAACTTTACTATGTGTAACTATGTTTATAATATATATTAAAAGTTATAGTTTTGCTTCAAAGTAATAGTTTTGTTTGTGAAAATTCTTAAAAAGTCGACTTCTTACATAGTAATTAATTAACATTACTATCCGAAAAGAAAATCGGCAAGACTTGGAGCGAGATCAAACACGAAGTCTAACGCGCGCGATGGAGGACTGTTGTGGACGCCCTCTGCCCCATCTAGGGGACATAGGGCCTTAAGTCAAGTCACTATCCGAAAAAATATAAGGTGTGGAATAGTCATGATTCTATTTAAGACAGAAAATAGGGTTAAAGATAAAAATCAATCACAAAACATACAACTGGAATAGTAGAAGCTATTTCAAAATTTGAAAATGATTTAATTATTCAACAAGCTGATGAATTGAGTTTAATTAAGTTTCTGGCAAACTTTCATATTCTTTGATGAAGATAGTCTGTTTTTTGTCCATCAATAAAGAGGTATTCCTATTTATCTACCAAGTTGAGGTTGGTGACTTCAGTCACATAAATCATTGGGGTCAAATTGACCCAGTTAAATGACTTAGGTTGGCCATTACTGATCGTGACCGGGTGAATTTTCGGATAGAAATTAAACTAAGAAAGAAGAACATTTCAAATAAGATTCTGGAGATATCGGAGAGCGTAAGTACTAAATGTAATGAAGTATAAAAAAAAATTATCGAGTTCTTTTTACTAGATTTTATTATCAGCCACTTGGGCAAAAGTAGCCGTCAATGAGCTAACAAAGTACTTTCAACTTAGCTGGAGCAAGTCAGCAGGTTGAAAGGATATGATTAAATGAAAGTAAATAAAGGTTAAGTGAAATTGAAGCTAAATAATCAGGATAAGCTCGAGCTGAAATACAGGCGAAGAGCAGGGAAGAAGTCAAGTTGTATCAAGCTAATAACGTCCGTATTTCTGAGGCGTATAGTGCATATCTCATCGACTGCTGTCTACATCGATTTCTATGCGACTTAGGTTCAGACGTTGTTGAAATGTTGTACCACACTTCACTGAATCAATAGTCTATCTCAATTACAATGAATTAAAATAGACATGATTGTATCTACGCCGACAGTCGTTTTAAACCTTGGCTACTCCCTAGCACTATTTGATTTCCGTAATTTGAGTTTGATCTGTCTCTGTCGCTCATGTTAGTATCGTGGAAAGAGTGAGAGGTATGGCTATATCCTAAAATGCTATTATTGTAATTTTGACTTAACAACTCTTAATACACGCATCCTGAATCTCATAGAAATATGTGCTTGTAAACGAAAATGAAACTCCTGCTTTCATATAATTTGTTGAGGTTTGTCCCACCTTGGTAGCAAACTAAAGAAAACATTGTAAGATAAGTAATTTGATGTCCTAAGAGAAAACCTAAAACAAACAGATGAAGATGAAAGGAGAGATGCTGAAAGAAATTTACAACAGAATAATTGATGGACACGATCTACACAATGGTATGATGAAAGAACTCAAAGACCAAAACTTACTGACAGTGCCTGTAGTAGAAAAAAACAATCAATAATCATTAATCTATTGCATGACAAACCTAATAGCTTGTATACTATTATTTGATAGAATAGGTACTAAATAGAGTACTGTAATACAACATAAAATATACTAAGAACTAACACTTGATTTCTAAAAAGTAAGTAAAGAGCTTAAAGGACACTATCCACCACCTATCTATTGGTTCAGGATATAAACTATAATGAACACAAAGCTTATTACAACCTAAACATACTTTAGTTTAAAACAAAACACTGATATTTTATGACATGAACGAAAAAACCTTGGTCTATGCCACGACTACCTAGCACATCATCAAAATCCTATTCAAGTCTTACCTATCCACATTATAGCCTCAGACTAACGAGGGATACAAAATATAGATTGAGAGGCAACAAGGCCCTCTGTGAGGGTCATTAAGTCTCAAATTGCAGTGCTGCATCAGCAATCCGAATTCTAAAGTACAACTCTATCGTGTCATGTAAGTCAACAAAATACATCAGCAAGACCTAGTAGTGTGACTCGGCTTTCATTATTGCTTTTCTTCCCCATGCTTTCT